TTTACATTATTATTATTATTATTATTATTATTATTATTATTATTATTATTATTATTATTATTATTTGAGATACTTAACAAACCAATCCAACATGTCGTTGTGAGACTCGTCCGCTTTCTTTACAGCGGCTTCATCTTCGACATCGTATCTCACGGACCACCCATGTGAAACTCCAGGAAATATCTTCACAAAACCATCAACCTATGGAGGGAGCAAAAGTTAATGATCAGACCAACTTTTTTTGTAGTCTTTACCATAAAAAACTAAACTGCAAAAGAAAATGAAATGAACTGCCGTAGAAAGTAACACCAAGATTCGAATTTTCAACAAAAACAATTTGGAGATAACTACAAAGACAGAGATTCAGATTTCAGAACGTTATATTTGGAATGTAAATCCAAAGAGTTATAGGCTTCTTACCTCAGGATTCTCGTTTAAAGCGGCTTCAAATTGTTTCAAAAGTTCTGGTGGGGACATCTGGTCAATCTCGGCTCCAAGAACCGAAATTGGAACCTTAACTCCTGAGGATCGTTTTATTATCCGAGTTTGAGTACATAGAAAATGATCCACTTCTTACTATGGTAAAACCCAAAATAAATATAAATCTGTAACATACACCTCGAATATCTTCTACCGATACAAATGAAGGATGTAACAAGACTCCGGCGTGAATGTAAGCATACTTTGCTAGTTCGACAACAACCTTGGCTGAAATGAAATTCGGTTTAACATTTTCAATAAATCAAAACCACCAAATGCAAGAATATTGTGTTAAGATCACTTTACGTACCTCCCCAGCAGAAACCAGCAGCTCCAATTTTGGCAATGCCTTTGCTTTTTATGGCTTCTATAACTGGCTTTGCATCTTCAAATCCTTGATCCTACCAAAAACGTACACAAACTAATTTTATTTCACCACATATATTTTTTCGTATACAAAATTAATACCACCACTAAGGGCGAGAAAAGGATATAAAGATCACTCACAGGTCCATGATTCTTTAGCCAAACGGGCAGATCATTCTGAAAATCATTAGATACGAACGGATCTCCATGGAGAAAGTCAGGAACCACAGTATAAAATCCAGCTGCAGCAACTTTATCAGCAAGCTTCCTGCACATCCATGTATGTTACGTTAGTATAATTTGGATCACGAGGTTTTATGCATGGTAACATATATAGCCAGATAAATAGTCACAAGTCTAAATCGGCAAATCTTACAATTTTTAACTTTCAATTTTGGAACTGGTCCATTACAATGGCATCATAACATTAAAACAACAACCAAAAAAAAAAAAAAGTTCGAACAAATGAGGACATTAAAAGCAATATAATAATGGGAAAATCATGGGATAAGACTAACCTCAAGTTAGGAGCCTCATATCCTGTTGTATGATCAATGAAAAAAAAAAAAATTAGAACGTAAATGAAAGCAGCAAATGTCATACGAATCTTCAACAGGCAAACACCGTTTTTAAGATGATGCAGCACAAGGTTCAATTGCAAACACAACATTCTAAACATAAGAAAATACTCCCTCATTTTACCAACAAGGTTCTAAAAGAATGACATAAAAAATAATAATTTTTATCTTACCTAACATCATTGTCCATCAAATATCCCAAAATCATGTATTTAGATATAACTTTCTCTATAATTATTTATTTTTTCTCCATATATTATTTAGTTTTTCTATATCTAATATTCTGATTATCATATTTCCATGTCCACTTTAGTCTTTAAGAATTATTATTATTATTATTATTATTATTATTATTATTATTATTATTATTCAAAAATAGCAAATAAAATTGTATGTGTTTTTTTTTTCTAAATATATAGATATTTAGTGTTTTGAACATGTTTAATTTTTTTTTTTTTT